AAACAGTTTTGTGGGCATGGCTTGTCTTTGCAGCCAAGTCAAATATCTTTCCCAGATATGGCTGTTATTTAAATGAACAGTTGGATGAAATGTTCACACTTAGTCATCTTCCCCCTTCAAATTCAGTTAGCAGAAAAAGAACTGTGGCAACACCTGCTCCTTCAGGTTTCTAAAAATAGCTCTCTTTCTTCTTATGAAAGGAGTGAAAAGTGCCACTTCTATTTTTTAACTTGCTCTTATACATAGGGTATAGTGACAACAAAAAGACACAACCCCTGGTAATTCTCTTTCAAAACAGAGAGACAACCAAACTAAGCTTTTGACCTCCCATTAAATCCATCTAGCTGATGAGGCCTGACAATGGCTTAATTGGTGTAAAATGTGGTACCACATAATTTATAGCCCAACAGAGTCAGGAGGTACTATAAGTTAATCTATTCATCCATTGTCTAACCACTTTTTCCAATACAGGGTCGCAAGGGAGCCAGAGCCTTTCCCAACAAGCATGGCAGGCTACACCATGGAAGGGACACCAGTCTATCACAGGGCAGATACGTACATAAAAACACACACACTCACACCAGGGCCCATTGTCCCAAAAAACAACCTACCAGGTTGGATAATGCATCTGACTTTGGATCAGAAGACTGAAGGTTTGAATCGTTGAATTATTTGCTCATGTGAAAAAACAGTATGTTTTTGTGGACCCAGGGAGGAAACTGGAGCACCCCAGTGAAAGCGAACAAGGGGAGAGCGTACAAACTCCACACAGACAACACCCCAAGAATTGAACCCAGGGCCCCAGTGCTGCGAGACAGCAATGCTCACCACTGCGTCACCATGCCGCCTGTATAATAAGTCAAACGAGTTGAAATGAGACTGTCTTTTACTTTTACAAAGCTCTGTTGTCTTATGGCATGTGTTCTGAACACTGGACTGCTGGAATTACAGAGCTGACAATGGTCAGTTTTGTTTTTTGTGTTTGCTAAAAAAAATGCTTTTTATTATTCTGGATCGTACATGAAAAGACAGGGAGAAGAGGTAGAAGGAATTGCAAAGCTGATGTGGATTGCATAGTTTTATTCATGTTTATTTGGGAGGAATGCCCAGAGGAGGTGCTGCTCATAACTAAGACCTCAACCTTTGCAGTTTGCACACCAACAGACCTTTCTTTGTGCATGTGGGTGGGAAGCTATCAAGTGATGCTATAAGTGGGTTTATATTATGTGTCGAGGGGGTTACTGAATCTGTATCTGTAGGCAATGCACACAGTAAAGACAGTTGTTAGTAGTTGTAAAAGCAGTGGTAGTATCATTTTTATTAAAAAGAAGAATTTCAGGAAAAGAAATGTCAAAATTTAGCAGATATTGTTATCTGTGTCAACGTACAGAGGTTGAAATTATAGTACACCCATCTAGTCATTTTCTAATCAAGGTATCCAGTACTGTGACCCAGGGGTCAACCAAAGTACAATTATGTTCAAAAACTGGAGGAATTCAGGAATGTGCAGTTCAATTTCACCTTCATCACGGCCTGAATTGGAGTTCAGTTTTTTACAGAACTATTGCACGCTTTTCTAGGCGTCCACGCAGTTTACAGGAAACCACTACTGTATATTCAGCGCAGGTTTCTCGCAATTCTGCAAATGCAGAATGTTTGGTTGCTGTTTGTGGGAGATAGCGGCATCTTGTGACACAAAGAAGCACTGCATGACAGGATCGTTTTCTTTGCGAGAGAGCCAGACAGGCACCGTGTTTATAATAGCGGTGGAATAGAATATTTTAATTTTTAATTTGCAGAACTTAATACCATAAAGACGTTACATTAAGGCAGACTCGATAGCTTCTGGGTCCGTGATATTTTATGTCATAAGCAAGCAGCAAAGGCAGACAAAATGTTAGGACATACAGTTTAAAATTGCAGAATAGTGTGTACATTTCTGGTCGTATAAAAGCCGAGGTATCAGCTTCGACGGTATGGCTGGCTGGGGAGCTTGTTCCACGTGTCTGTTGTTCTCAGTTTCAAATGCTCTTTCACCATGTTATTATAAATATTATTTGAAATGTTAACTTAAATTTCTGTTTTCTAGTAAGGAGATTAAACTGGCTTAATGTTGCAGGAAAAGGTTTTAACGAAACATGCTTCCACGACCCTTCACTCCAAATAAGTCTTCAAAATGCCATTTCTTATTTCACTTCAATAAAAAAACATTCACCTAAAGCATGATTTTTTTAATTGTAATTATAAAGTTTGTGCCTGAGGACATTTCGGGAAATATGAATATGGATTTAAAAATAAATAAAAACATTTTACTAAACACATTTTACTTGTGTTTTAGAACATCTGAAGTTATAATACATCTTCAAAAAGCAGCTACGTTGCTTTACACTCATTCAGTACCGTTTATCAAGTAGAAAAACAGTAACTTCAACATTCACCATTATACTTTTTCATTTTAATGTCAACATCACTTATAAGATGTGTGTTTTGCTACGTTTAACATTTTATAATTACAGCAGTACTAGGCTTTAAAAATGACTTATTTAGCACTTGAATCAAATCTATAACATTAATGTTATCGTTCTCATATTTTTAAATTTTACTGTCAAGTAGGATAAATATTAAAATAACACTTAGCCTTTATGAGGCCAATATCTGTATAATATTTAACCGAAATCCGGTAAAATATTTTGTCCCTATAAGATATGCACCCATGACCCAATCAGGAGAGTTAATCAGTTTAAGTTTCCGGACCAAACAATGGCATACTAATATAAATAAATAAGCGTTGATTCAGACAATTTTTCCGTTGTTGAATTACTGTATATCACGACATAAGTGCGCTGATTCAAGCGGTTATTACGCACTTATAACGTAACGCGTCCACGCATGCGCTCCCTTCCCCTCCTCCTCGGCCTAGAAATAACGCGCATGTCTGGCGCGGGGGGTTGTGGGTGTGAGTGAGGAAGTAAAATGGCGGACCTGGCAAACGAAGGTAAGGAGCCGCGGAGTGGGAAAGGAAAACAAAGCGAATGAATGGGCAAGAAAATGTGATAAGAAAGCTGAGTTTAGCGGAGAGTAGCGTAGTATCGTGCCGAGGAGCAGGACTGGGAGGCCCGGGCTCTGTGGGAGCCGGGGGATGAAGTTAGAGCAGTAAAATAGGGTAACGTATTTAGGGTTCCCGGCCTTTCTAATATTCAGAGCAGGAGAGGGAGGAGGGGGGTGGCCGCGGCGGTGGTGGTGGTGGTGGAGGAGGAGGAGGAGAAGAGGGAGGAGAGGACAGGCCAAGTCGGAGTTGGAGTGATACAGTTGGGGAGGGGGCACTAATAAATGAGAATGCTGTTTCAGATCGTTGCTTTTTTTTTCTGACTCCTTAAAGATCTTAGTCAGAGCTGTGCCTCGCCCTGGACATTTAAACAGCGGCCTCTAAGGCGGGACATGCGCATCCAGCCGCCCAGTGCAGTGCATGCAGACCAAATCTGATTTATATTACGGCGCGGTATGTCAGAGTACAGAAATGCTGCCTGACAACTGCCGTCAAGCACGCCAGTCTGGATATCTCATGTGAATATTTATATGCTCTTCATATCCTGGGACAAGCGGGCGCTTCTGAGTGTATTCGGAAAGATGCCTTTGCAGTACAGCGCACAAGGTCCGACTGGACATCTCGTCCCCCGGCAAAATTGTCTGGGTCAGCCGTAAACCACTCAACGTCTGATCCTTCGGGAAAAGGATCCGTTTTAAAAAAAAAAATGGTAGAAACAGTGGCCTGGCATTCATACTTGTCGATGCGCTGTTGTTCTACTTTCCGATTTGATTTTAAGTAACAGGTGTAGTCTCGTGCTGGAACAAGAGCCGGCTCGTGTGGATGACACTTGTAAAAGTATTCTGTAGTTCCTAACTGGATGAGCCCTCGTTGCAAACGTGTAAGTTTGTGTATTTCAGACAGGCACAGCATTTTGTCCTAGGCAGTGTTGCAAATGATTGCATGTACTCTCAATAATTATTGTACAAAAGGTGGAAAAACTTTGTTAATCCCCTTGTGTAGGTATTCACCATTTCAGTATTACAATGGCCTGAAATCCAATTCTTCTGTTGTGCAGCTTCAGGTTCAACCCTTTAGAAAACTACAGTGCTGAGCATTTTCTTCCTTTACACTGTTTCAATTGTCCATCATAGCGTTAAATGTCTTAAATACACAGTCTGAAGTAAAGTTGATTCTTGAAATAGGGAGAAGCACAATAAACAGCTGCTTAATAGGAAATTAAGTGCGAATCTTTGAGCCTCTGAACATCAGTCCATAGGTATTATATTGCATTTACTTTCGTTTATCTTGTCTTTATTAAGGCTACTTTTAGTTATTGAGAAACAGAAGTGTAGATTTCTTTAATAAGTCCATGGTCTCAACCATCATAATGTTAATTTGGAAGATAATTCCAGTAAAAAAGAGAACTGCATTGGTCATGTGACACCACAAGCTTTTATAATATGTCGGCAACAGTATGCTTTCTAATGCATGACTTTTATCTGATCCTGTTTGACCAAAACAAACTGCATGCAGGGAAAAAAAGTAAAAGCAGCTCTCCTGGGTTCTAACCTAGTTGCACAGTTATAACCCTTTTGAGGTTGTCTTCTTTAGCATGTTTGCTATTGTAGCCAGCAATCACTTTAAAATCAGATGCCAGACCCTACTGCCTCTGGAATGTCAGTGTGGTCCTGGAGTGGCGTGGCCCCTGTAAACTATAGTGCTTGAAAGCATTTGATTTAATTCTCAAATATTATTATAACATCTATACTCATATTTGCCTCCCTGATGAACCACCTTCTTTTTGATGTTTTCACTTGATCCGGTTCCAGAGTTGTAAAGAGCTGTTTAATAAACAAGTAATGATACTTTTTTTCAGGCATTCTAAAGTGTGTTCATATTCAGTACCACCTAATTTTGCTTTAACAGCAAGAATTGAAAGATGCTTACAGGTCTATTTGGTCTAAAGCTTGACTGTGTGCAGGTCAAATATAAATATGTACTCTCCGTCTTTAAATTACTGAAAGCAGGTCTGCATCTATAATATGTTATGTCTGGTGTTCTTTTCACTATGAAGAAAGATTATAGCAGTGTATCTCATTCCTGGTCTTAGGGGACCGGTGTCTCTTTTTTTTCAGCAGCTGAATTCTTAATCATAAGCTAATTGATTCTCGTTTTCTATTTGGAGCATATTTTGAAATCTGCTTTCAAATCTCAGAAGGTTGAATGGAAACTGGAATTGGTATGAACCCGGTAAATAATTGTGGTTTGTCTGAATCAGCTTGTGTAAGTATTTGCTGTATTTGCATTCCTTCATTTTTGTGTTCATCATAAGAACTATTTAGACAGAAATAAGGGGAATCAAGTTTGGCACAGACATTAAAATTCTGTGTGCTGAAGTTATTGGAAACTGTCCTTGGATTAGGATATTTCTGAATATCAAGAATGAGTTCAGAAAATAAGGAAAAAAAATCTAAACAAGCAAGCAGGTTAATTACATTAATCAATTAGCACTGGAGAATTGGAGCTTAGCTGGAACAATAACCAACAGATGCTGTGCTCCCCAAGGACTGGTGATTGGTAACCACAATGTTGATATTTTTTTGTGTAAATGCTGTAGTGCTAAGGTCTGAGGGCTAGAGGGCAGCAGTGCAACTTTTAAAGCTAGAATTCTTGGATGTAGAGGTTTTGCTCTGCATTCTTGAGTTTTTTAATGACTAAGGTCTTTGATACTTAGTATTTGACCAATTGCAGGTTTTGCAAATAAGCTGTTAAGTCACTAAAATGTGATTAAAATATACATTCTAGATCTGCTTCTTAGTAAAATTAATTTTTGCTTCAATTAAATGCATAGGTCTCACCTGCATAGTACTCGGAATTAGGGTTTTTAAAGCATGCAGACATTCACTGAAAGTAAAACTAAGATATTCCTTTCTCCTGTGATTAAATGGGGTTTTAATTTAAGTGAAAGTGTTGCTCTCTCTGCTGACCAGATAGTGAAGCTTTCCATGTACTTATACTATCTATAGGTGGTGTGTGTGGGTGGGATGAGTGTGAAGGAATAAAGTTTTGAGGGCAGACTGTTAATGCTGCTTTCTGCTTGCTTTACAAAGGGCTCCTGATCATTTGCTGTTTATAGGGTCCTTAATGTCTTGACAAGGAAGTTCTGATGGTACTTCATACCCTGGTATGACGCTCTGTGTACTGTTGGCTGAAGCTTGGCAGTGTGAGCTGTTCTGTGATTACAGGATGGATGTCATGTACTGTACTTGCCCTGTTGGAGGGGCTGTCTAGACTTGTCACAGTCTTAGTCCTTTGAATAGAGGCTAATGTAACTCAAGAAGTCAGTCAGAACTATTGTCCAAGACATTGGAATCTTCTCAGCACTGTGATCCCAATTCCCATTGCTTTGTATGAGGCTTCTGTAGTGTTTTGGATCCATGGATCTCAACTTGACCTTCAAAGTTCTTAAAACTAGTTGGTAGAAAGCAGAGAGATTGTATATTATACCTTTATAGCACTTAATGTTTAATCATCATGTGATGTTTGCAAGTTATTTTGATTGAGTTACAGTGCCTTAAATCTAATAGGGAAATCTTGATTTGTGGATTTTCTTAAATAATAGTAATGTTTCTTTTAATGTTTTAGCAGGTACGTGTGAACATCTCAGCTCATAAGTCTGTTAAAACCCAGAGCTAGAGATCACAAATCAGCATGGCTGAGGAGCAGGGTGAGTGTAGGGGGCCTAGGGACAGCAAAGATGATTCATGCATTAGATTTACATAAAACATCTGAGTCTTTAAATATAGTGTTAACATTAAATTAAGGTGTTAAACATTCAACACCTGTTTAAAAAAAGACAGAGCTTCTCTCTGTGCAGCACAGGTAGGACTTCACCTGTTGTGGAGCACCCCTGTTTCTGAGAACAGGATGTGCAGGAGAGCAGAACTGGTACTTGGAAACACAAAAAAAGTCCAGAAAGGGAATAGTTACCAAATCCTTATCAGAATCATGCTCTATAGAAGCTCTTGTGAAATAAAATTGTATTTTTCTTTTGTGGCGTAGTATTATTTCCTTCTCTACAGTGTACATGTCCATCTAAATACTATAAATCTTGCCAGGTTTGCATTAGGACAGTGAGAGGATTACCTGATGAACACAAGCATATTTATGAAGATCTCAAATCTTTTTACAGAAGCTTGATGGAATTTGTTTCTTTAAAGACGTTTCCTTAAAATTCTTAATGTTTTTCGAATTTCTTAGGCTGGCTCATCTTTTTTCCCCCATTATGACCATTTTTACTTTTTATCCTTTTATACTGTATAGCAAGAAATAATTTCAGTATCTGTATAGTGTAATCAGCTTGCTGTATTATATGCAAAGAATAGCCCCCAGGCTTAATTCACTGCTTAAAGTGGATGGGATAGTTCTGTAGCTAAGCATCTGATCTGTGCACATGACCAGCAAAAGCAGATAATGTCTGGTATCAATGTGCTTGGTACAAATTTAGCCTTATGTGTAATTGACTCCTGTTGCTGCTACATCTGACTTGGACCCAGATGTATAAGATTAGTTGTGTTATTTTTATATGCAAGTTTTGAATTTGTGAGATACTTATTTTCTTGAACCAGCTAACAGAAATAGACAATATTTTTAGTCTTATTCTCTAATGCTGCTAAAAATACACCGACGTTTGGCAGAGTTGTTTCTCCCAGGTCTGTGTTTATATCAGCTGACCTCAGTGTTGGGTCTAGTGCCCTCTTTCTGCAAGAATGTGTAAATACAAGTGAGTTCTCTCCCCTTTTTTACATTGCCTTTCTGTAAAAGTCCAAATCCTTATTCAGGCTATCTTAGCTGTCAGGCTTCCTTCAAGGTTGTCCAATCGTGGGTCCCGAAGGGCTGATGTCTCTGCAGGTTTTCAAACCAGTGCGGCACTTAATGTCCTGATTCAGTGACCTGTTGGCTTAATTGGACCAATTTCATAGCCGTTCAGGTGCTGGCAAACCTGCAGACACACCTCTGTCCTGGACTAGGATTGGGCTGCCATGGGCAGGACCTTCTCATTTATAAGGCTTTTATAGAGCAAATTACCTTGTACCTATTGTTGTTGTTGTTGTTGTTGTTGTTGTTTTTTTAGGATTTATATAATTTAACATATCCTACAAAAATGGGTCACCTTTGAAACCAGACGTGGTGTAGGAAAATAAAGATTTAAATTGTATTCCAAGAAACTGAAGTGAAAAAAAAAGCTGTGCTGCTATTTATGAAATTCACATCAGTGTTTCTTTGGTTATTGTTGGCCAACAGTATGTTTTACCTCTGTGGGTGTCGGTTCTTTAGGCCAAGGGTTCCCAATCCTGGTCCTGGTGACCCACATGAAAAATCAGGAAAGTGTTCATCCGGGAACAGTGTTGCTAATTGATTTAACATCTGTGTATCAAAGCAAAAGCTGGCCTGGAGGGGACAGTGGGGAAGCATGCTGAAGTAAATCTGCTTTTAAAGGAGGGAAGGTGACCTGGTGGGTAAATAGTCCTCTTATTTGTCAGGTTATGATGAACTAAAGGTAGTCACTCCTTCAGAGTTACCCAGCAGAAAGTACAGGCCAAGTTTATGAAACCAGTTTTTTTGCTTCTCATTTACTACTCTTTTGTTTCCCATGGCCAGTGCTCAGCTCTAGATCACTAAGAGCCCCAGACTCATCTTAAAGAGGACTAGAAGCTGTACTTGAAAAACTTCATTTGCAGCCTTCTCGTGTTGCTGGTGTGGCATTGAAGGGAATTCTGGCCTGCGCAGAAAAGAAGCTAGACCTCTGCATATGGCTAGTGAAATCCAAGCAATAAGTCACGCGTTTTAGTATGTAGAAATGTCCAAGTTGTTGACTATAAATAGGTCCAAGTGGAAATTCTAGCAGCTGTGTTTCTGTTGGATGTCTCTCTCACATCTCTGCAGCCATCTGGTAGAGGGTCTTTCGTTCCTTATGTGTCCCCAAGCCACTTTGACAGGTAGTGTTTAAGTAAAGCAAGACTGTTATTTGCTGCATGTTATTTGGGGCACAAGAGGCCGAGTTAAGTTTCATGACCTTTTGCCAGTAACAGTCTGACGACTGATTTATTAGTGTTTTCGTTTTAAAGCATTATTTACTGGGATGGATTTCTTAACCATTGAAGCAAGCTGTTGGAGCTGTGTTTTCCGCCTGGTATAAACTGTGGATTTCAGAAGCACAAATAAGAGGCATTCATTTTACATGACAATTGGACAAGTTGATGGGCAGTTCTGATAGAGCCAGTGATGAGTTCATTTTCATTGGGGAGCTTCAGTTTCAAAGCTCTGAATGTCTGGATGTTGATAGCGTGATGGTGACATTTGAAAGGGACTCTTCAAGAATTAAGCTTAGAGGGTGCTGATGTTCGCAAAAGTCAAAATGCTAGTACTACTAATCAAAGAATATTAGTATTGTCTTTCAATTACGTAGACTGGATGCATCACAGAAGTGTTTTAATGTAGTTTTGCCAGTGCGCTGAAGTTCTTTGGAGCCTGCATCAGAGTCTGTCCATAAACCACAAGTTTTTTTTTTGTTTGTTTTATAGAGAAACCTGCCATAGCTCCACCTGTCTTTGTGTTCCAGAAAGATAAAGCACAGAAGGTAAGCCAGCCAGTTTCAGAGCTGATTTATTTCACTTCTGGGAGCTGGGGGGCGGTGTTGAGTGGATGAGAAACAAAGTAAAGGTTAAGGGATCTGAAATCCGTTTAATAACTGAACCATTTTGTAGTGCCATATTGATCATGGTAAGAGTTTGGAGTTGAATGCCATTTGACAGGAGGCGAGAACAATAAACATGTAATTTGTTGACTTATTTTTATTTCAGAGATCAGCTGATGGATCCAGTGCAGAAGATGGTGAAGGTGACTTAAAAACGGAAATTTTTGTTTTGGTGAAAAACTAGACATGCTGTATCACTTCATGAATTTATTGTGGTTTCCTGGACACTTAGAACAACTTGTACTTAAATGTTTCAGATTCAGACAAAGACGATGGAGCTTATTGTCCCCCTGTGAAGCGCGAGAGAACATCGTCTTTAACACAGTTTCCACCCTCACATTCTGGTAACTATCCCTGCTTCTTGTGAGCAAGGTAGATGTGTATGTAAACGTGATGTGAGTTCTGTTGAATTGGCTTGTATGAGACACTAAGAGCTTATTGGGGTTTTAGCATTTTGTGTATTCTGCTTGAGGTTCTATCCTTGTTAACCTTATGCCTTGAATGTGAAGGCAAACAGCTATTGTATAAATAGCAGATTTTCTAAGCACACATGGAATACATAAGCATACATAACATAAAGATGTTCAGTCTCCAAAATTATAGGAAAGGTGCATAATTGTGACCATGAAGAATCAAAAACCCAAATTATCATTTACATTTCTATATGTGGCTCATGTCTCATGTATATGTGGGCATCCCTGCCCTCCTAGGATGTGATCTAGAGATGGTTGCATCCAAACATGGCATTGACAGCTGCATAATTACTGTCTTCACTGAAGCACTTGACACTCATTCATCATCTCCAAAGGCACTGGTATATAGAACTATACAAATCTGTGGAATGGTGGTTTACACCCGGATGGGGCATTTTTTCCAAATGTTCAATTGCTTCCTAGAGAATGAGTATTTTAGTTATTTCAGACTCTGATTTGTTAAAATAAGGTATATAATTTGTAAATGCTTGCTAGGTACTGACCTGTGTGGACCCTGTAAGTAGTCTTAGAAATATTTCTTAAGCCAGAACTGTTGTTGTTTTGTTTGTGATTTGATACATTCCAAAGATCATTCGCATAATCATCGTTCACAAGGAAGTACTTTTTTCCATTGCCTTCATCCCATCATTTATTCCTGATATTTGTTTTTTTCTTGGCCTTGTTTGTTCTCTCGTGTAATATGTTGCTGATTTTTCTTTGTAGTATCCAAAAACAATGTGTTTATGCCCTCAAGTTTCTGTCAGTCCCCAACTGGAAATTCAGACTCTGAGCCTGGTGAGTTCACTGAACTGTTCTCTCTGTGGGTCTGATTTGTAAGATGGCATTGAACTCTGGAAAGGTTAAGCATAGGCTTTTAGCCAATATATTTGTTTTTTTTGTATTTTATGTTGAACCATTTCATTGTACAACCTGTTTTTTTTCTCCGTTTAGAGAATGGTGTCAGGTTTTAGAATCATTAGTCAAATTTTTCCAAAATATTTTTTTTTAACCTATAACATTTGGCAGTTTATTCATGCAGAACTAAGTTTAGTCTTCATTGCTGTGCTGTGACAAGTCAGCCAGGTCAGTCAGGTCAAGTAACGAGTCTAAGCTCTATTTCTTTTTAGAGTTATAGCGTTAGTTATTTCTCTGGTGTGTTTCTTTACTTTTTTAGTCTTGGCTTTTTCCCTGCTGTTTGGTCTTATTGTAATATTTGAATGATTTGTACTTCATTTCCCACTTAACTAAAATTAAAACCTTTCTTCTGGTCAGGCTGCTTTATCAGACTTGGGCCAGATTAGTTGCAAAACTTTTTGGCAAAACAAACTGGGTCTTCTACATTGTTTTGCAGTTACAATTTATATATGCAGAAAACAAGACTCTTGTAAATAAGGACTCAGCTCCCCAGGATAAAGATTAATTACTCTGGCTCATTTTTCCTGATTCCCTGATCATTAACTTGCAAGTGTTTATCTGTTTGCAGAGGAGAAGACTGTTGGATTTCGTCTGAAACCGCCCACCCTGATCCATGGACAGGCCCCTAGTGCAGGTGGGTATTCATTGCTGCTATGTCCACGAGTGGATTTAGCAGCTGCTAGCAGCCTTTTCCGCTGTGTGTGTGTTGTTTTTTGCCTGGGTTATTGTAAGTCCGTGGTTGCATGATGGATTTGCAGCAAATGCAGGAAAAAAGGAAATAATCTCATGCATATTCATGAGAAAAGTCTTAAAACTAGATTTTCCAGTCTTTAGACTAGATGTGAGAGCAAATTAATAAAATTCAAGCTAATGTTAGCGTATTTTCCTTGTATTACGACTTTAATTATTTGATTGGGCAGAATGCTTTTTATGGGAACTTTCCTCAAAAAGAGTTCTCAACTTGTGTTTGAGATCACCTAAATTAGGGCTAGACTATGTGGTGTTTTGATCGTTTTGAGATCCAAGCTATTGGCAGGTTATCTTTCAGGTGTTCCAAGCCAGAAGCCTAAGGAACAACAGCGAAGTGTACTTCGCCCTGCAGTACTCCAGGCCCCACTGCCCAAAGTTTTTCCACAGACCAGTAAGTAAACTATTACTCTGTTTACTGAGTTCATTTCCAGTCCACAGTCCTGTAGGTGGCATTCAGGCAAAAATAAACCCATCTGATATTTCATGTAAAACCGGGTCACCTACTTTCTTGTTTCCGTCTATGTATGCTGTCATCTGTGGCCCTGAGGATTACAGGTGTTGAAAAATCTACCTAGACGTGAACTCCCAAATTACCCCTCCCCCTTCCCATTTTCAGTCAAGAAGCCTGGGAAAGGTTAATGCTCTACTGTGGAGGCAATATTTGAATATCTTGCACGATGCTTTCACATCAGCAACCACGGATATCCTGAGTGTACTGTGTGACGTGCTTGGCATTTGCTTGAAAAACTTTTAAAACCCTTTTAAAGCAGTCATTTTTCCTGTTTTTATTTTAACATTTTCTGTCTCGGAATCTTCTAAAAATCTCATCCATCCAGCTTTCTAACGCAACGAAGAGTAAACAGTTTAAGTAGAACAGTGTTGTTTTGCAAGATTATTTTCACCCTGTGCTCGATGCAAAAAATATTGCAGTACTTAAGGATGAGATTTGGGTTATGTTGGGAAGTTGAAAATATTCTTTCACTTGACTTCTGCTTACTGAAATTTCCTGCCAGTTGTATTGCAGCATAGAGGTAGCTGGGATCCGAATCACCGGCTTAGAATGCTTTAATGTCGCCAGACTGTAAATTATGCATTCTGTGTCATTGTTTTGTGGTGCAAGCTAGAGTAATGTATCAATCAAGTAAATAAAGTGCACTGGGAGACTAGTGCTGCAGTGAGAGAGTATTCATTAGTTTCCTTGTATTTTTCTCCTTTCAGATTCCAGCAGTGGGACAAATGGTGTGAATAAGCCCTCGGATCCAGCACCAGATGGACAGCCTGTCTCCCAGAATAGCACGGAGAATTCGGAGGCTGCTGAGGGAGCCACGGTGAGCCCTGGGGTTAAACACTGTGGTCCCTCTAGCCCTCTGCAAGCACTAATTCAGGCCAGGATCACCTCTGCAGCAGGTTTCAAGATTTGCACTGTTCAAAGCTGCTGTTTAATAATATTTATTGCTTGGAGGATGGCTTTATTCATATGACAAGTGCCACAGATTTTATGCACTCTAATGTTTTGAGATATTCTATCTTACCTTCACTCTGCATCTAATGTAAGAAAGAGAACTGATTGCTTTACATACATTTTTCATCAGGGAAAGGTCAGAAATGGCAATTTCTCAAATGTTGTCTTATGAATGACCTGTCACTTTCTAAGTTTGGACCTGAAGCTTTTTTTGAGGGTAAGGATTTAAACCACACTGCTAAAAATAATGTTAATATTCTATCTTTGCTTTACATTGGGAAATGTTATAGCTGTATCTTGAACGGCAGAATGAGAGAACTGTAGTCTAACTGTGGTAACATGCATAATAGAAGTGTGGACCCTTATTCAGTCTTTTCTTTCCCAGGAGCATGAAAAACAAGAAGATGGGCTGAGCAGTGAAAAAGAAGAGAAAACCGAGAAAAAGGATTCAGTTCCAGAGTCATCTTTTGTGTTTGGCCAGAATCTCAAAGACAGAGTGAAGGTTTTTATATAGTTGAACTTTCTCTGACAGTTTGTCAAGAAAAAAATGTACATGCAGTTGTTGTTCTACTCTGACATTAAAGTTGTCCACTTTCGGAGCCTTGTTTTCATCAGCTTTAGTTTGCTTTTATAGTCTATTTCAGGAGATATTTAGATTTTTAAGCATTTTCTTCTGATTGAAAATTCCTGACCCAATTTGTTAGCCCCCAATCTGTCTGTATTCTTAGATTTTGGTAACTGTAGGGCATTTCTACAATTTTATTATTGTTATTTCGAAACATCCCTTCAGTTTTTTTTAAATTGTCTCTGGGCCCACACTACCCGCAGGATAAGCTGAAAAACATAAAGTGGCTATTGAATTACCTTTTAGATGTAAAGATAGGCTGTCTAGACCAGTCTGTGGGAATTATTACCATGATATAGGCTTGCAAAAATGTAGATTCCCATATACTCACTTCCCAGAATCATTGAATTGGAATCGTAAGGGGTATGCATTCTTTCTTGAGGAAAAGTTTAAAAAATTTGAGAAGCACCAAAACTGTGATTACCCCTAATGAAAATGTTTTTTCTTCCAGATAGAAGAAGGCAACGAATCCTCAGATGTTAAAGAAAGCAGTTGCCCACCATCAGAAGCATCGTTGGCGGGCACCAATTATTTCTTACAGTACATCAGCACCCCTAGGTATTGTAGGCCGAGCTTTTTTTCTGCTTTGCCTCATTTCACTTTTGGTGATTTTGGTTGAAAACTCGCCCCCTTTTCCTTGTTTTCACAGTTCACAGAGTGTTGCCAACAACACAGACACTGGGGCAAAGTTTGTTTTTGGGCAGAATATGTATGAACGAGTTCTGGTGAGTGTCGTGTTCGTGGACACAGAGTGATAGTTGTCTTTGATATCCCTTCCGCTTAAACCACATGGGCAGATTGGCTTAGAATTTCCTGCTTGTCAGAAGACAGTCATTGTCACAGCTTTGTACTCCAGTGAGACTATGATTGGAGAGAGGTGCCTTTCCTTTTCAGAAGGAGAGGTCAGTGCAACACAATTCTTTGCTAACTTTGCTTGGCTGTGTGAGAGGGGCCTTGGCCCCAAGTTCCTCGAAAGCATAGTTCTCTGTTTCACAGGTAGCCCACTTAACCAGTACTTAATCAAGTCCTTTTTTTAAACATCTCAAATGTGGAATCCGTGGTGGATACATCAGATAAATCTGTTCACCAGCAAGATGAAATAAAAATGAAAAAAAGTCTGTTTTTTTGAGGAGTGGAATTGGAAAGGCTGGCTTTGTGGCTGTGACCCCAATTGTCTGGTCTCTACAGAGCCCGCCAAAATCCAGTGAGCCGGCACCAGAGGGAGGCAAGGAGAGCACAGCCCCCCCACCCACCGAGCCTCCCACACAGGAAGTCACTCCGGAGAAGGGTAGGCACTTCTTTTGCTGTCAAAAGAGTGTGGCTCTACACAGCGTTCTTTATCGCTAGGATACAGGGAAAAATGATCTGATTTTGATCCGTGCAATCTGTTTGCATGTGGATATCGCTGCAGAAATGAGGTATTTGCAAATGGTATTTAAGATGGAATTCATCAGCCCAGCAGCCCAGGACCTGTGAGTTTCATGTATTATTCCCAGCTTGAATGCTGACCCTGCATTGCTGACTGGTGTGGTGCATGTCTTTGCAGCTAACAACGTGACCGAGTCTTTGGAGGAGTCTGCAGCAGCCTACACTAAGGCTACAGCCAAGAAGTGTTTGCTAGAGAAAGTTGAGGTCATAACTGGGGAAGAGTCAGAGAGCAATGTGTTACAGGTGGGCAGGTTTTCTTTGTCTTTAACTCCCTACTTTTAGCATTTTTCAGCTTAATGTTTTCTCTAGTTTAAGTGAAACTCTGACTGGTTTTTAACATACCTGACTTTGTGCATTTGGTCATAAAATCAGTTTCTGACATGAAGACATTTGTCATATCATGTATAGTTTAATTAAGTAAACACATCTTCATGCAAGAATGATGTTCATGTGCCTCCCGTTACAGAAATATTAAACAGAGCTATAGAAGCAAGTATGACCAGATGTCTGTTTTTTTTTTTTAGATTCAATGCAAGCTGTTTGTTTTTGACAAGACCTCCCAGTCCTGGGTAGAAAGAGGAAGGGGGCTTCTGAGATTGAATGACATGGCATCGACTGATGATGGAACATTACAGTCCCGATTAGGTAAACGATACAGTGTAAATGAATCCTGCTGATGAGAAGTTTCTGTGATGACTTACCTCTTTTCTAATTGGGATATGGGAGTGTTCATCCATACAGCAGGGCATTTTACTGAAGCACTCTGAGTGACGTACCATGCTCAAGAGTGTTACTGCAGTGCCCCACCACTGGGTATAGAAAGGCTAGACCTAAAGCTGATCTGGTATGGGGTGGGAGGCACACTATGGGTTAATAAATGCTTGATCATTCAGTCTTGTCTGTATTTGTAAGGCTTTCTCATGTAAAGGCAGTGCATAATGCTTTTGTAGTCAAAATTGTGATAAGCTGCTAAGGATTTTGCGATCCTTTCATTTTATCCCCAATCTCCTCATCTCTGGTTATGAAAATGCTCACTAGAGTACTTGTAAGTAAGTTGACCTCACACTCTCGATTACCGGCATGCAGTGATGCGGACCCAGGGAAGCCTGAGGCTGATCTTGAACACCAAACTGTGGGCTCAGATGCAGATTGACAAGGCCAGTGAGAAGAGCATCCGCATCACAGCCATGGACACTGAAGACCAGGGAGTCAAGGTCTTCCTCATATCGGTAGGTCCCTGTGGATCAAAAGGAGTTTCACCTAATTGCCATAGTGATGATGTAATTTCCACAGAGAGGAGAGAAAGGTGCGCGCAAACACCTTTCTCATCCCCCCCAGAAATATTCAGTTTAATTCTATGTAAAGACTTATTATAAGGATTGTGAAAATCAAGCTGCAACTGTACTGATCATTAAATTCTTAAACTTGGCAGTAAAGTGATTAAGACTAAATGTGAACTATTTTACAACAAATGGAGGTGAGCAGTATTATTATGTTTATTAAGATCACCAGAGCTTTCAGGGATTTTCCTTTCTTAATTTTAATAATTAAAACAATATTTTTCTGTTCCCTCTTTAAGCTAGATAGATCACTTTATTAGCCATATACAATTTCCTGCATTAGGAATTCATCTTTTCGCATACCCTAGTTTGCTTTCCATGAGAGACAGGCACACAGACGGGGAGAGAGAAGCTTAGGTACACAGAGTGACAGGAAGTAGTCGATAATTTGAGATTTGGAGGGCAAAATCAAAAATGAATTTGAATAAAGCTGGTATTTTATCTTTCTGTGCAGCAAAAATGTGTAATGTTCATGAATGCTGTGACTTTAATGAAGCAGCATAATACACCAGAGTGTCTAAGGGTGATCTTGGCTTAATCATATGTAGTTTGTTGATTGTAAACTGTGTTTATTCCCCAGTTGGAACCAGCTGTTGCAGAATTGCATAATGACATTTTGCTGTGTATATGGGACTAAACGCAGAATATTTAAAAATACACTCGCTTAATTTTTTGGCATTGAAGAGGTTCATGGATGGATAGATGTACTAATTGGTTATAATTAATTTTATAGAGCATTGAATGTTTACACGGCAAACTTTAACTGTATACAATTTGCAAGAAGGTTATTAACTGCATTTGTTGTACTTGGAAGATGTCACTGTCTTGCGTCCTAATGCAATGTTTCGGCAAAGCTCTGGCATTTACCTATGCCTCGTGTGGTGTTCCCTCTCCAGGCCAGCTCGAAGGACACTGGCCAGCTGTATGCAGCCCTGCACCACCGGATCCTGGCTCTTCGGAGCCGTGCTGAGCAGGAGCAGGAGACCAAGGTCACCCCACCTGAGCCCGAGGTTGCCCAGTCTAATGAGGAGGACAGTGATGAGGATGATGTCATTACTCCTGCCAGCGGTAATTTACTTTCTTCCCCGCTGGCGCCAGTCTTCAGCCTGGCCCTGCCATCTTGTGGACAATGAAAAATGTTTGCATTTTTATTTTAATTGATTACAACAGAGAAATAGCTGTAACAGCCAACCTTGTCAAAGTGAAAAAGGAAGTGCTTCACAGCAATACTTCGGATAGGATTTTATGCTCTGCAGGTGACATTTTGGACAGTAGTAAATCCAAAGACATTTCTCACTCTGCTTGACCTCTTCACTGCTTATTTCTCCCCCCAGGTAACGCAGATGCTGGAGAGGCCCAGGCTACTGGGAGCACATAGCGTCTCTGGCACTGGTCTGCTTGCAAGGATGCTTCTTTTGGCATTTTGCAGGCGCCTCTGTGGACACCCCAGACCAGCCTTTTTATTTTGGGTAATTAGAAGTTCAGCTCCAGGAAGGATCCCGCACAGGTCTTTCTCACATAAGTCTGTGCAGTTCCATTCCCTGCATTAAAAATCAATCTGGAGTAACTTTTTTTTTTTGACTGCAAAACTGCGAAGACTTTTCAGCTTTGGTTTGGGACTTGGATGCTCATCATATTGATGAGTGCGAGGGCGCAAGAGAGACAAAAGAGGTTCTCTCATCTCCAATAGACGTGGCACATTTAAGACTCTACCGAATAACTATGGGACCTTTCTATTAAAGTCACATCCGTAAAATCCTCTGGGACCTAGAATTCCAGCAGAGTTTTAAGTTTGTCTAGAAATCTAGTCTTGTACACAAAACTGGTTTCCCTTTTTTTACTTGTTTACCTATTGTCACTCATTCTGATTTGTTTTCTTTTGTTTTCTCAAGCTCTTAAAGGCCATTTACACAGGCACACACAACTGTTACTAAAACGCTTAACAAAAGCTGTGCCCCTTGTCTTTTCTTTGTTCATAATAAACATGTCCTGCTCTGGTGGGTCTAAACACAGAGGGTTAAAATCAGTTTGCCTACAATATTGATGTTTTTGAAAATCTCAACAAAGCAGAAGCTCAGGTATAACATGTCCAGTAGCTGAGCTTTTTTTTTTTAATTTTTTAAGACACAAACTCTAGAAACTAATAGACATTCTACAGGCAATGGTTTGGTTTCCAGTATTTTTCTTTTTTTGGGGGTTTGTATTGTGCTGAGACTTATTTTTTTATTAATATTAACACTTTTCCTGTTTTGATTAATGGGCTCTGGCATGCTCAGAGCTGGAAAGAGATTTTTTTTTGTATATATATATACATTACTCTTTCATTGTAATCCAAGTGTTTTGTTCTTTGAAAAAAAGGGGGCAGCCAGACTTTATGAAATTATCAGCTGTTTTAGGAGCTAAATTGGTTAAGATCAGACATGGGTGTATCTGTTGCTCTTCCCATCACTTGACCTGAAATGTAGGGAGTATTTATTCAAATGCAGAATAAGCAAACACGTTCTGGAGAAACCTTTTAAAAGTAGTGAAATATTTAACTGGATTCGTTTTCTTATGGGTCCTTGTGGGTTTATCTTGGTGAAAGTACACTAGATAAACACCTGTATTCAGATGTCTTAATTTGAAATGGGAAATACAGCTGTGACACTATTTGGGGCCACTTAAACTGTGGTTCAGGTAACTTGGGAGAATATATCTGAATACAGTGCTTACTGCTTTGCTGGTTTCATGAAAAGACCCTCCTCCCTAACACAATGGATAGCTTCCTTTGGGTATGTTTCAGTTTTGTTCTCAATGGCCTGTTTTTTCATGATACAGTCCTTAGAATCCTCTGGATTAAGCTCTGAGAGACAAGTGGGAATCCATAGCAGATGTGTGTGAAACCCAGAAAGAAATGGCTTCTTGAAGTCCAAATGAAGGCTTTGAATTCTGACTGATTTCACCTTGCGTTTGCTCAGAAATTCAACCTTTTGTCACAGCACCTCAGGTGGACTTGAGTGCTATAATCATCTCTTGTGTACTCCATAATTACTTGAATAATTAGATTATGATTGAGGCAAAATGCACCATTTTCACCTCTGTTAACTGACATTTGTTCTCCATATGTTATACCTTGAAATGGCATCTGCTATGTATTAGTGCACAGTCCTCCCCTACACCCACAGCCCTGGGTCAATCAATTAATAACCTTGAATTGTGCTACAAATCGGAATTACAAGACCTTGAATGGCCTCTCCCATGCTCTGAGGTTTATTTTACAGCTATAAAGAACATTGTTTGAGAATTTCAATTAGGAGAGTTTTCTGGAAAGATCAGGCATGGACTAATTGTAGCAGATCAAGTGTTGAAATTCATGGGGAGTCCTACAGTAGTCGAATCTTAGTTTAGCACAACTCTGAAGGCTAGTATAATGAGTTGTGGGGGTAGCGTTTTCAGAAATATTTGGAAGAACTCAAAGTACTGTTTTCTCAGGGTGAAAGTATTTCTCCCTCATGATCATTTCAATCTAATAAGGCGAGAAAATCATTGTTAATCTTGTGTTTAGTCCTTGCTCAGTGCTTTTAAGCACTGCAAATTTGACAGTTACTTTTTACTCAGTTCATTCCATTTGTCTCTAGGAATATAGATGGGAAGATCAGCTGTAGAAATTGGCTGACTCAAAACTGTTTGGTTCCACTCCTCTCCCTCTCTGCCCAGACAGCTGGGTTTGAAAACTTTAAAGTAGCTTGCTATATTTGTTTATCATCCATTAAGTGTAGCTGCCCTTTTATTTTTTATTTTGATCAAGTTGGATTGATAATCTATATACTGTTGTATAAATTGTGCTCTTCTTGTACTGCAGCAAGCCTTTGGATGTGGAAATATGTATTTTAACTAAAAAAAAAAGGAAAAAGCAGCAAGTAGGAGTATTGTTGTTTAAAAAAATGTAAAAAGCCCTCTTAATATGTATATTCTTGAACAAGCAGCCTTATAGTTTGAGGATCTTCTCTTCTGTTTATTTTGTACTTTCACTGCAGTCAGTAGAGATTTGTTGCCAGGAGTGTAAGTGATTAGTTTTCCATACTGCTAATTAGCAAGGTGCATAGGACAATTCAGCTGGTAGCAGGGCTCAGAAATGAATGTACAGCATTTGTCTCGATCTGGGCATAGTCCTTCAGCACTTTTCTTTCCCCCTAAATATGAACTTGAAATGCAGTGTAAAACGCCAAACCAACTTCAAGGCTGTTTTCATTGCCGTTGATAATGTTGGGAAATCGCATGAAAGGATTTCGAAAACAAAGTGAAAAGGTTTTTTTGTTATTGGAGATGTAACAAAACATTGTGAATTGGGCACTGTGCTTGCGTTGGCTGAGGCTGGTTCATTGTACTGTACTGTTCGCTGTATAGGAAGGTTATTAGCATTTTGCAGTGCAAAGAATCCAGTCATAGCGTTCCAAAACTGGTGCTATTTTCTTTTATTAGTGTTGCGGTTGTTGGAATATCTCAGATCTCAAAGGTGAAGCTACAATTGTGGAGAGTTAACATTTTCAAGGTTAAACAAATCCCTACGTTTCTCGGTGGATGTTGCACAAGAAATTGAAATGACTTAATTGATTAAACAATTACATTGGAAAGAGAGGCTAACAGCAGTCTGTGTGGGCGATTAATAAGTAACAGCTTTCTTTGGAAAATTAGCTGGGCTTGCCCTCTTCTATAATACAATACCATCTAGTTAAAATTCCTCCAGATTTTGTTTCTCCTAATAATACCCCAGCTTTGTTTAACTTTACAATACAGCTATAATGCTTTTTTAAAACTTTTTTTCAGTTTTGTGAGGTTAGCTGAGAGCTGAGCTCTGCCTTCTTTGAACACCAGTGCTAAAAAGTGGGGGGGAAAGAAATACTACTACATTTCCAGGTTTTTCACAAATGCTTATGTTTTGGGTACAGGATGTAATAAGACATTAAATGTCCTTGTTTTTCTTATCAGAATAGTTTCTTTGCATTTCCAACTAAGTCATAGTTCCATGTTTTTTTCATTCAGTGTTCATATATGATGCAGGAGGTTTCAGAAACTACCAGTGCTCTGGCAGCAGCTATGAGCACTGTTGTGATGCCCTGAGGAAGTCCATTCCCATAGTTTTTGCAGTATTTATGGCTGAGGGATTCAAGTTGTGCGATCTGGACTTCTCTTTATCTTCGCCTACAATGCAAAGGTGCTGAGAAGATGTCAACGCAGAGCAAACAGCTCAGCCAGTTTTTATTTTAATGTGACTGCTGATCACCGCCTGGACAGTAGATGTGCAGGCTGAAAGGAGAACGGAGCTTGAATGTTTGTGCTGTCTGTGGCAGAATCGGTGAGGAGGACGTTGATGGGACCAGTCTGTTGGTCACTCTGTGGATTGAGCAGGTCGTGAGTAGTTTTGGTTTGGTCGAAGTGACAGCCGTCCGAGCCTTTTTCAGTGTCTAAAGCAAGCCCCCATACAGCAGCTCTGCTTAAGTAGCTTACATGTAGTAGTTTACATTTTGTATCTCACAAAATTTTAAAGGTGGTGATCAGTATACAAATGGGGTAGTTTGTGCTTGTGTGGCTGTGGACAGGGGAGGTTACTCTTTATAATCTACCACTTCATTGAAATTCATTTTTGAGCCCTCTCTTGCCAGGTCAAAACCCAGAAATAAAAACCTAAACATGTTACTTTATGCTTCAAGCTTTAGTAAAAAAAACAAGTATAAAAAAACAAATAAAAAAGGAAATATCACTAGTGTTTTGAAAAGGTTTATGTAAAATTGTCATATCCGATGTATTTGAGAATTACATTAAAACTTTTAACAGAAAGCACTGTTGGCAGTTTTCATTTTTTTAATTTTTAAAGTTAAAACCATGTTCTTCATATTCAACGTTGTTTCCTCAACAGCGAATCTGTTAGTATCTTAATAGTTACAACACATCGCATCTGATATTTTTGCAAAATCTAAGTTGATGACTGTTAACTTGGGGATCAAAATATTAACTTCTGTGTACCACCCCATGTGGTGGTGTGAATTGTAGTTAAGGATGAAGTGGTCCCACACTTTATATATATATAAAACATCTTTTCATCTGTAGAATCCCAAACATTATATAATTTCAAGTATACAGAAGTGCTAGCCAATGTGTAACACATTTCCTTTAATGAGGATTTTTTTATTGTGAGAGCACTTGCTCTGCTCAGCATTTTACTAAGAATTGGTTTAGCAAGTATTGACTGCATAGGAAGGTGGCACCCGTTGGGGTTTCATTAAAATTAATATTGTATATGTATCGGATTACTTGTAGCCTTCTTACCAAGTCCTATTGACATTTAAGAAAGAAGGAGAGTGTGAAGTTGGAAAGACAACCATCAATGAGGCACATTGCGTGTAGGAGAGAGCCTTGTGAGTTTATTTCACAGCATGTTAAATGTACTGTTGGCGTTTTTACAGTTGGAATAAATAAACTGGACTTTCTTCTGTGTATAGAAATTTAAGTAACAAATGACCATTCTTAAATGTTGCACAATCCTAAAATGCTAATAAATGACCATTTGGCACCAGCTGTGTAAGATGACCGTGCGCGTTGTCTGTTTCCTACTTTTTTCCCCCGAAGAAAATGTTCTCACAACTTCCAAGACAAAACCGGCAAAGGAGATATTCTCAGTGCCCAGTAGGGGGCTCCACTGAGAAAACATTCGACACTACAAGCCGTCAGAAATCCGGTTGATGGGAATTTACAGAGTCGGTAGCAAACCATAACTCTTTTCCTACCTGCAAACCCCTATAAGCACTCTTAAATCTGATCATTTTTAATCGACAAGAATAAATTCTGTTTTCCTTACAATAAAACTGACCAAAACCCAAAATGAATGAATTAAATAAGTTCACACTTCAGCCAATTCCAATTTTTAAGTAGCACTTAAAAGCAGGCTTGAGTTTTCAATGTGTTTATAGTTGCATAATGCTTTAATAAAACACCTGCGTTATTTCTGCTAAAGTACATGTTTATGGATGAATTTCTTCAGAATGAACAGTAAAACAGTGTGTGAGTGTTCATAATTGTTCAATCTGCTAAACGCTAATATCACAGCTGTAATGCTAATTCTCCAGCAAGTGTAGAAAATGGTTATTCTTTTTAAACTCACTTTTGAAGTAACGGGGTACTGATTTAATTAACCGGAAGAGATAAGGGCCAGGCGTTTACCAGTCATGTTGAGAGATCTGCTCGGATCAGTAATTAGAAATTAGAAATGAGTTCCTTGAGCTGAATGGTCTACTCTCCGTTTTTAATATTTCTTTTGCGGGATTTTTTTCCGCCATACTGTTCTATATGGAAAAACAGAATCATTAATCACAGGTTGTCACTTGGAGCACATAAGCACCGAGCCACAGAGTACAGCTACCTCGATTCAAAAAACAATCCTTAAACGTTTCATGTTCTTGAGCTCTTAATATTTTCACTGCAAGTGGTTTGCTTCCACGAAGGAAGCACCGAGAGGTAAAAGAGGGTATAAAAACTCTATAAAACATGCAAGCGAGTAAACAACACCCAATTATGTCATTTTGAAAAGGACCGAGTTGAAGTTGACAGCTTTATTTAAACCGTTCATATAGCTGCAGGCACTTGTAACAATACAGCACGATCGTAAGAATGCAAGGTGAACAGAACAATGCAAGATGAAAGGGAGGCTGATTAAGCTCACAGTCCCCAGCTGTTCTCCGTAGGTAGGATCAGGTAATCGTGGTTGTCGACGGAGGGCTTAGACACCTGCAACAGAGAGAAAAATGTTAAGTACTCCACTCGTTCTGTCTGCAACGTCAGTAAATGAAAACAAATGGATCCACAGAGCAGCCCTTCAGATCCGTTTGCTGAGGAGATGTGCTAATTATCTTTGCCAGGACGGCTTCCCCGGCCTCTCTCCAAAAGCATTTCAGCAGGAGAACGATATATGATATTAAATGAAGGTGATTGTGAACTCAAATGCAGTGCAGGTTTCATGAAATCCTACATCCCAAGTCCGTCGTCCTTGATTTATACAGTGATGAAGGCTCCCTAACGCAGTTCCTGAAGCGAGGTCATTTTGATAAACTGTCTTCTTCCGACACACATTACAATCCGCCATGTAACTGGAGAGATCAGGGAAAACAAGAAAACTTTGCAAAGAACCGAACTCCGAGCTTTGAATCAAATCGATTCTAACGGCGTCGCCTACCCCGGAGAATTTAAGACGAAATGCACAGCTGGTGTGAATTATTCAATACAATTATTTAACATCTCTTTAACATGCAGCATTTTTTTCCTAACGAAGACTACAACATTCTAACGGGTGCCAACTGGAGCAAGATTCAAATACGTCCCTTAAAATAGAACGGTGTGCAAACATATTGTATCAATTTTAATTTAGATTTTAGTGCATTCATTATTTAAACCACGGGTGGATGCAATTATCTTTGCGCAGTAGTAGATCATTTACTTCTAGGTTTGGATGCATTGCTTCCAGCTTTGGGACTTTTGAATACAAGCCATAAATCTATTTTATGCCTGGGTGCTGTTGTCATTGTTGCTCTGCACATGTTTCTCAACTGACAGCCCAAAGTAGCAGATATGTAAGTATAACGGCACAGTCATGCTTCGGTTTTCCAAAGCGGGCAGACGAGTTTGGGTGCTATTTCACGGAATTGCTTGCACATACACGCAAAGCAGCACCGCACGGCCCTAGGGTGACTAGCGGTGAGCTCAGATACGAGTGGCAACTCGTCAGCATCCAGCGCTGTAAAACAAGACCACTGCAGCATCTGCGCTATATAATCTGAGCAGTAAGGAAAAGGGGAGACGGGGAGAGGAAACTGAAGTCACCATTCCAGCAAAAGGGGGGGCGTTCTACAGCTTCCAGGCGTTTCTCATCATCTCCAGAAAGTAGCTGTCACTGTCGATAGAAGCACTCACTCCGCTGTAGTAATTCGTGAACTCCTCCAGAGTGACCTGCAGGCGGAGACGAGCTCGATCAATTGAAAAACACACCAGTGAGGTATAAACCTCGCACAAAATGCAAAACAGCTCAAGTTGCAGAGAGGGCGTGCAGAAACACAGAACCGCAAAAAAAAAAGGTCAAAGGAGAGGAAGAGAAAGGAAACGGAGGCTGAAAGGACACTGTCACCAGATGCAGAAAGGGCGAGGTTTCAGAGGAATGGGCTGCGTACAATTGCGTTTCGTACAGACGTTCGCGAAGGTTTTGAAAAATGAACAGAACGGAAGAAATCGTTCTCATTCCCCAAACGCATCCATCCGTGAGCTTTAATGAAAACGTGTTTCAAGAAATAAGCGGAAAAGTGGCACGGTGTTGACACGAACCGCTGTCTTTCAGAAAACCCCGGGTTGGGCTGAGCGTGAGGCGAGCCGGACAGGCCGTCATGCGCCCTTGAGCGTAACCCCGATGGCCACTTCACCCGGGATTAAACTGTTCTGTACCGGCGTGCCATGGACAGAATTTAACTATTGTTTTGGAAAAGACACAAACCGGTTTACAGTTTTCACACAAGCCAGAGGTGCACATAGAAAAAAAAATCTTGAGGTTATCAAGGCTCACAAGGGGACCGTTAGCAAAAAGTAGAACAAAGCTGCTTGATAGACTTCCCAGTGTTGAAAGTGAGGACGTGCACCATTTGTGTGTGTTCTGCCCTAAGGCGTCTATTTGGCAACGCGTCATGTCCGTAGCAGTAACGCAACATTCAACAGCAATCAAAACAGAAGCCACAGCTTAGAATCGCACGAGTCGCCGCTTTTATTCAGGTTGCTATTTAATGTACTGTAAATAGCAGCCGTGAGACAATTTGTGTTTTTTTTTTAACCATGAGACTTAAATGCAAATTGAAAGAAATGGCTAATGCAGGGGACATGAACTCTATCCGCTAGAGTCAATGAATGGAGAGCACAGGTCTTTAGACACCTGGAGTTTGTTTCGGGGTTTTCCGTTGTCAGGACGACGCCTCGTCTTTACCTGAGATTCCAGCCCTTAGCCAGAAACCACTAACTCCGGACAGAAGTGAACCCGCCTCAAAAATACCTGGACAAATGCGTCAAAGCAGACAGAACACACCCGAGGGTCCGTCATCCCGCACAAAGCCTCTATCAACCGCCATTTCTATTGGCGTCTACTAAAAGAATAACCGTCTGCAACAAAGAAACCAAGATAAAAATAACTCTGTGAAGAGACGCGGCTCGTACGTCAGTGTCATCCCTGTCATACCTTGCCGTCTTTTTCGTACGGGGAATCAAAACTGTCGAGGAATGCTCTGAACACCTGCTCCTGCGTCCACTGCCCCGTCTTGTACTTGGGGTGGTGGCTCGCATTGTAAACGCTCTGCAGGTCTTCAATGGTCACCACGCCGTCCCCAGTCCTGTCCAGCTTACGAAACGCCTCTGCAATCACCTGTTTTCTGGCGCTGGACATGGGAGGCTGTGGGAGTTAAAAAGATCAATTGCATATGTAGTCGCATCAAATGACACCAGGTTGTTAGATGAGGACAGCTCAGGGGTTCAAACAGCGAAGTCACAGCTTGCCATTCTGGGCCAGCTCCTAGCTTAACCCAAGAAAAATAATTTATCTTCTGCTAAAGCCAAAAAGGATTTAACACATACAGCTGCATTCACAACGCTTTCGAAACAATAGCTTAGTATGTGCAAAGCTCTGGAAACAATTTGTGGAACCCAGTTGGTTATTCAAAGTTATTACATAATCACCCAAAGTTATTATGTACTTATGATCCATTGGGACCCCTCAAGGTTATAGAGGTGTAATTACTTTATCTAATTCCAGTTTATAACTGCACAATTATAGGCACCTTATGGCTTGAACCTTTAATATTTAATTACATTTAGTGCTTCAGATTTGGAAAGAATTTCATGTAACATAACTTATTTCTAGAGAGATGCTTGTTTAATTCTCAAAGCCAAATGCAGAATCTTTCTGTTCTAACACTAGTCAGTCAGTCAGTTATTAATTAAGGTATTTTACTTACCTTTTGAAGCAACCTTAAGTTACACATAATAAAACGTGTTAGTACCGCACATGCAGAACCTATCCTAATCCTTACAAACATTTTGCATCTGGCATACCTATGCCATAAAAGCAGGGATTGGCTCTTAAAAATATTTTTACTCCTGAATTTTACCTGGGTAAAAAATTGACTTATGACAGTAAATCAGAGACCCATTTACTGTATATTAGAGTCACTGGAGAGAAGCACCAAGATCATTACAATGGGATTTGAACCCATGACCCACAGGTGAAAGGTCATCACATAAAAACCAATGGCTTGTCTTGCCACCCACCCTGAGAGCTTGGAGAAACTCGTCAAAGTCAATGGTCCCGCCACCATCCTTGTCTATGAGGCTGAAGATCTTGAGGGCCTCCTCCTTGTCCATGTTCACCCCATACTCGTGCAGCCCTTTCAGGAACTCCTTGAAATCCAGCGTTCTGCTGCCATCGTCATCCATGATGCGGAAGGTCCTGAAATGAGGACGTAGATGCCTAACGACTGCCTGCTCTTGTTCCACCAAAACGGTCTGGTTGTCTACAACCAGTCTTCCCTTTAATCGATCCATCCATTTTCTGACCGCTTCTTCCACTTCAGGGGTTGCTAGGCAGCCAGAGTCTATCCCAGCAAACACTGAGTGCAAAGCAGGGTCCTGCCTGGGCAGGACACCAGTCCTTCGCAGACACACCCACTCACACCAGGGCCAGTTTTCCCAGAAGCCCATAAGCTTACCGGCGTGTCTTTGGACTGTGGGAGGCAACCCAGATGAATACAGAGAGAACATGCAAACTCCACACAGATAGTGGCCTGGGAACTGAACCCAAGTCCCCTGCACTGCAATGCATCAACCACTGTGCTATCGTGCCACCTTCTTACAAGTCTGATTACAATGTTTAGGCTTGGAAATATTTCAACTTCATACATCCTTTATACACTGTTCTTTATTTACAGTAAGATAAGTATAGCTTTTAAGTAGTGGTAACTAACTACAGTAGGTTATTCCATAATATTAATTTATTTTCAACTTGCAGAACACAACTGAAGATATTTTCTGCCCTAGTCTTATTCAGAAGTCAGACTGTGAGCAGTATTGGGGTTTAAGCCCAGTATTAGAGGGGTTGTAGGGTGTTACAGTCAATCAAGTAGGCTGGAGTTTAACTTCTACTGTTTTTGCTGGGAATGAGCTGCAATAACCCCAGTACTTTAACCCGTGTTAGCAAAAAAAGCCTACAGATTCAATGTCTACAAACACAAATCACTGAACCTTTTTGTTTGTTTGTTTGTTTGTTTGTTTGTTTAATTTACTGTATTACAGATGTCGCTGAACTTGCCTTCCTAAGCCCTTTATCCCCGCAGAGCCCTTGGCCAGACACTGCAATCGGAGCTTCTCAATAGGGTCCGTGGACTGGGCCATTTCTGGGACAGGTCGCGCGGTTCCGGCCATCGCGACGTCATGAGGTACCGGCACAGCAGAAACACGTGCCGGCGCGCAGAGAGAGAGAGATACACACAGAGCACAAAGGATTAGTCACAGACGCGCTTTCGACTGTTCAAGAAACTTTCCATCGTTTAGAAGCCCGCGTACTCTTTCAGAAGACATAGATTACCCGTTTGCCTGCATGGAAATAAACAAGTTTCAATCATTACAAGAAGAAATGCTGTTTGCCAGCAAAACACGCGAAGAAAATAACAACATGTATTATCTGTCTTTTTGAAAACTGTATTTCTTTATCATTACTGGTGGTCCACTGCCATCATAGTGTGTTTTTTTTTTAATTTCCATTCTGTTGCTGCTCTTTATTTTTAATGTTTATAAATGCCGTAAATTCCGTTTGTGAACGCCTATCTTAGATCGTGTCGGCGTCAGGTCAGATTCGTTATGGACACCACACGCCGACTGTACATAGCAACTGCCGCAGTTAACTAAATAAAAACGATTCCCTCATGACCGTGTTCTTTCCAAACGACATCAAGCGCCTGTTCTAAAATCAGATTAAATGTACAGTTGTTATTAATTTTTAAAGAAATGCTATTAGCACGAACTTAAACACCCTCATACGAATACGAACACAATTACAGTAGTTCGAATTCTGCAGCACAGCACCCGAGGAAGTTACACTTCATTGCACCACCAAAAACTAAAACCTTACAAATGAAATATTAAACATTTAAGTTCTTAAAATGTTTAGCACATATTTTATTGTCTGTGGATATTTAAGCTACACATAAAATATGTTATGTACACAAATGCGTACAAACACACAGTTTATGTAGAAGATTTGTAAATAAAACAACCTGATAACATCATGTAAATTATTAAACAAACTAAATATGTTGCTTTTAGTTTAAATCACGCAAGATGTACCAAGTAAGTTCTGTTTAATAAAAGATCTGATTTTATATTCGCACCTTACCGTTTCTAAGCTTTTCACTCCTTTGTCTTGTTAAAGGTGTGCTTCACCTGTCTTGTAGTTCAGCCCTCGAGTTAGTGCACCTGGTCGCCTTGGCAACAACTGTACTTTCCTACTTCCAGGTTAGACCCATTTTCTCTTTTCCACCGCAGACAGAAAAAAATGAGATGGTGTTCTTAGTAACGTAACAGTGCTGCGGTCCTGGGTTCAATTCCAGCGCTGTGGGTCTATCTGTGTGATGTGTATGTTCTCCCTGTGTTCTCTCACAGTCCAAAATTACTGGTAGGTTAATTGGCTTCTGGGAAAATTTGCCCTGGGGTGATTGTGTGACTGGCGTCCCAGCCAGAGTGTACCCCGCCTTGCGCCCGTTGCTTGCCGGGATAGACTCCGTCTCCCCCACGTCCCTGAATTGGAAGAAGCGGTAAGAAAATGAAATACTGTTGCTTGATAAGGAAACATTACATAAATGCTGCAGAAAGCCGGGTGGTGTGACCAAACCAAACGATTTGAGGGCTCCTTTATTTACCACGTTACTGAACATGACTCGTAATGCTTGCGAGGCTTTTGTTTTGGGAAAACATACATTGTTATATCTTCTAATGTCGTTCTCCAACCAGTAAGTTCATTCAAACGTCCAATGCATGAGGATTTGGTGGTCAAAATGTTATTTTCACACCTGAGTGAATCTGAAAGTAGAAGCTGTGGACGTTTGAAACGGTTTAATATTTAACTAGTGTGCATAGATTTGTAGTGACGAGCGCAAAGGTTACTTTTCCAGCTCTCTTTGGTACCACTAGAAGTTGCTTTATTCCGTAGACGCCTATAAATGGATTAAGATCATGTAACATTGTAAAACCCGTTCAGATGTTGCAGCAACAACAGGAAACAAAGGCGTAAAACGCAGAAAGAAAAATAATTTGTGACGCAGAAAAAAAAGTTACAGAAGACGAAGAACTAAAACAGCAACACGTTTCACCAGGCCCTTACCACTAAGGTGAAATCAAATGTTAAAAAATAAATAATAACCTTAAACGTGCAAGATTTTTGTTTTTCAAAAACTCCTGGATGTCACATGGTATTGTAGGAACTAAATAACTTTCTAATGATTAAACACTTCATTAATGTGTTTATCGTTCTGTGTAAAAAAAAAGTTTGGGTACACAACTTTAAACATCTGTTTTAAAAGCTTATATGTAGCAGCTTTATGGCAAAATCTGAAAACACCTGGTTCTAGTAATATTGGATATTTATTGCTTTTCTGTTTCTTGCGAGCATGAAGTGCTCTCTGGAGCTCTTTGTAACGCCATTTGTTACAGACGAGCTGAGGAAATCCGTTCTGTTGCCATAAAGTGCTTTTTCAGCCCAAAAAGCCTTATGAAATTAGCAAACCGCGGATGCGACAGAAGAGAATCGCAGAGAAAAAGCGAACGGCTCATATTATTGATCTGTTTTAAAAAAGAAGGGGGTGTCCTAACCTTAACGGTGCTGTAGCTCTATGGAAGTAAATATATATTAATTGACGTATTTGCTTTCACAGTCCATTTAGCTTTGAAGAAGAAGCAAAATTAAGCTGTTTTGCCTTTTGTGCAGTGTACTTTTGCGGCATTCCAAGCACCCGGTTTGATCAAATTCACCATGTTTTGCGAGTACTTAGAGAAAACACGGTACTTGTTTGGTTGTACTGTATTTGATCACATGTAATAGGTTTATTCCATGCTGAAAAGAGAAAAAGTGAGCACACCTGAAGAAGGCTCCACGGCCGAAACGTTGCGTTTTCTTTCTTCTCTTTTCAGCATGGAATAAACCTCTTGTTCCTTTGCAGCCTACGCATGCTGACGCAGCTCCCCACCTGAACTACTTTGATCACATGTGACGTTTTCAATGAACAAAGCAACGGATAATTTGGGATAATATTTGGTGCAAAGAGTTTTGTTTTATTGAGCCAAAAAACAGGCACCCTTCGTAGATTTAAGCCGTGTCTTTCGTCTGCTCTAGGCACTCGATACAATGGAACTCAAACGCCTGCGGGGTTCAGAGTTCAGTCTGATTTCTTCCCACGGAAGATGCGAGAAAGCTCATTTCTCCCTGGCTGCACTAGACCTCTGGGAGACGGGCCCTCCTCGGCATGGGAGGAGACAGTGAGTTTTGGTCTACTCTTAATCTCAGACACGCGTCTTTTTCCCCCGTCTCCTTAATCTCGTTATCTCGTTCATCCAATATCTTCCTGCTTTTTTATTTCAAAGTGGGGGATTGGGTAGCTGTGTGCACAGATAGTTGTTCAGTCCTTTCTGGATAGGCAGTGCCTTTCTGTGACATTGATCAGACAGTTTTGTTCTTTTAGGTTATTGGGCACAGATAAAATGATGCCCAATCTTCAAAACGTCCTAGGTGCATGATGTAGTTCAGGCCATTGCAAACTCTAGGCCATTACATAGTTTTAAACATGACCAATAACATATGACAACCTGCAATAACATGTGAAGCATAAGGTTTTGTAGCTTGAAAAGCAGGATCACCCAATGATTTACTATCCAAATTCTTTTTTTTCTGTAGTGAAGTGAGGTTCCCTCTCACTGTGCGGTTCCCATCCTTTTTCGGTTTATGGTAAAGAGAGAATCTTGGGGGTGAAAGAGAGCGAAAATGGGCTTTGGTCACAGTGCTATCAAGCAGTTCTGTATCCTGTTTTTACTAGACCCAGAAACTGGGCCCTCACTTGGTAGGTCCGACACTAAAGCCTTGTGAATGTTGATGTGGCAGAGACGGACAATCTGTTCTGTAGAAGATGGATGGGCTTGTTTTATTGAAGGAAATGGGTATGAGGATCTGGGTGTGATCTCATGCGTATTAAATCATAATGACCGCAGTGCTGGCTCTACACAGCCCAAAGACTAGCTTTGAACATTGCCCTGCTGAGTAAGGGTAAATAAAGGCGGTAATTGGGCTAGTCGTTTTGGAAATGCTAAGTGCCCTTTGTAATACTTTGATTTATTGGGTAAGCAATGCAAGAGCCTTCTATAAAATAAATGGTGTTAATTGGTCACACATGCAAAAGCATATTAATATGCAGCCAGAATGAGGGATGCACCGAAATGATTGATTGATTGTTTGCAGGTGCTATCTTCAACCTCATCACCGCTGAGGGGAGATGTTCATCTTCTGATGCGTCCTCAGTGCACCGGTTTAGAGCACATCCAAAATATGTGCTAGAAAAGTGAAGCAAAATTTGCTCATATACCACACAGGCCAGAAATGATATCTTGAATTAAAGGGTATGTTTAACATAGAGACTTGTTTTGCCTCATATCAAACAGATGTGTGTAGAGAAATATTTTTTTGGACTTAGGGATTTTTGTAAAGAAGCAGTATGTAAATGAAACGTTTTTGCCATTCGTGCTTAAAAAATTGTTTTTTTTTTAAGATGACGTTGGAGAAATGGTGTGTTTTACAATCCAGCAGGAATTTTAAAAGAGGACGGCCTTTGCTTATTGCAGGTTTTATCTTCCTTGTTTTGAACAAGGTACTGGTACTTTAATTACCCGCTAATTCCAACCTTGTCCTCTCACCATTGCAGAAGACGGTTGGCGGGTCTGACTGGTGCTAAAAAATGTTGCACAATCACTGCATTGGAAACCTCTGCATTCCCTCCCCTGGCATCCTGTCCTGTCTTGACTTTATGCACATGGAGCTCCCTGTCTCTCAGATCCATGGGGCTGGGGACAGGACACTAGAGACTTGGAGTGCTGCCGCTGGTGAGGTCAGATCCTTACTGCACGGTCCTCCAACCACAGCTGTCTGATCCTATTTTAACAGGCCTCCTTTTGGAGTTTGGAGGAGAATCTTGAAACATTAGTTTGTTTTTTTATTTGCTCTGTTTTTGAAAAATGTACAAATCAGTTGCATTGTTTGTAAATAAAAATAACAAGATATCTGAAGTAACCAATTGACTCAGATAGACCATAAAACTTTCCCTGCTCCTGGTTTTGCACCACAGCCTGGGGTTCCAGAATTATCTCAAGAGGTCTTGAATTTCTCACCTTGCTCACAAAGGTCCCCCCCGAATGGAGCTCAAAGTTGCACGACTGCAGGCAATTAAACTGTGGGTTGATTTAGTTCAGAAGACCCAGGCATGGCCTTTGCTTATCAGGCATGCTCAGCAGACCTTTTACATTACAGCATAAATGTTTCCAGGACAGGAGCTATAACTGAATAGTTGAGAGCATATTTTCAGCAGTTTTGAACATTAAACACAGGAAATTAACTAATTTGGTCATACACTCCTGCATACCACATCTCCTGCTCAGATAACACAATATGTGGGACCAGTGCCACCCACCAGAGTAGGGGACCCCTGAAAGAGCGGTGCATGATATCAGGGTTATCTGACTTAATCAGCAAAGATCTTCTCTTACTCCCATGTTAATTGCAGCCATCTGCACTATACATTCTCATTTTGTATTTGTATGGCTTACTGTATAGCAAAAGTCTGCACTCATTCGTATGATTCAGTAAATCTTCATTCACTGGTTCCATTTGAGTTCTTGCAACATGAGACAATGAACACCTCAGCTGCCAGAGCCATTGTCTTGCAGCATTGTGTCTTATACATATATATTTTACAATCAGACATGCATTTTTAACACGAAACTAGAAATCATGTAACTTAAACACTTTCATTTGTTTTCATTTTCTATATCTTCTTTGTGGGTGGCTTATTGTGCCTTATTATTGTATTTACTTTGAAGTTTGTTTCTTCTTTTGTACTTTTACAAGAAAAATGAAAGTAATTTTGCCCCATTAGGCCCGTCCGTTAAAATCCTGTAACATCAGACTTCTGAAAAGTTTTAGATAATCATACCTATAAAAGTTCACATGGTAATGCTGATGGGTTCTGGATCTTTTTAATTTTTTCATGCATCTAAAATATGTCTGAAACATATTTCTTCCTTATCCTACTAATATAAAAACAACAGTAGAACTTTTGCTTGGACAAAGACATAGCATGGTATGAAAATGAGAAACGTTAATCATATTCTCTGATAGAATGTCATCGCTCAGCGATTGCATCAACACATGAGTACCATATTGCAGTTTTAAAGTGATCTGGTAACACTTAAAATCTGTTTTTCTGAGAAGACTAAGACTTAGATCTCTGAATTAGTGGAATACGTTTGAAAAACTAGGAGTGCATGAAAAATGTTTAGTTATTTCTAAAATGTCCCCATAACAAGCTTTCCCTAGTTCATCAAAGGGGATTAGTCGTCTTGTCTGGAGCGACATTAGAGAACCTTGCTGAATTAAATCACTCTCGTCTGTGTATTTACACTGCCAAAGCTAATGAGCCCAATTAGATGGGGATGCCAGAGAAAAAATCCTGATAGTGTATATCAAATAGAATAATAAATTAATATCAAGACCAGATTGTAAAAAGGATAGGGTACCTTTTTAAAAGACATCAGGAGACCAAAGCAATGCTTCTAAAATGAAACAAACCAAAAAAAAAGGAACTTAACTAGTCCTGCCTAAAACTCAGTTATTTTTGTCCTGGTTTTAAATGCATTGCATGTGTTTTGCAAAATCCCACGTTCGCTTTCGAATACATTTTAAAAACGGATCCAGCGTATATGATCGCGTTCTGTAGCATGGTGCCCGTGGCTGGTGCAAGATCATCAGGGAGCGGGGGATGTGTTTATTTTCCAGTCTCGGCAGTGTCTCAATTTTGTCAGATATTAATTTTAACGGTCCCACCTTGGGACCAGCAAGAATCCGTTTCCACTGGGGTTTGCTTGACCCCCTCAGACATGAAAGAAGGGTGAAAGGGCAGCCCCTGTTGGGGTGGAGAGGTGAATGATGGAAAGAAAAGAAACAAATGGAAAATACAAGGCCATCTTGCATGTTGCATGGTGTGTGGACTGTGAAGAGATTACAGTCTGTCACTCTCAGAGGCAGCAACACAGTTAAGTCTCCATTGGAGCTAGTATGTAATCCTGCTGTCAAACTGTCCTTTATTTATAGCCTTCCAAACACATGCTGTCTGCATGGTACACTGACTATCTCGCCTTGTTTATTACGAGAAACTACTTTTTCTGTATTCAAACGTATGATCAGAAACATGCATATTCCTGGGAAGTATCCTAGAAATTTGGACCCTATCCTGGAAACACAGGTTGCAAAGTAGCACTGCATTATGGATGACATTCCAGTCATGCACTAATGCAAAGAAAAATCTTTAACACATGGTTTTGCACATTTTAAGGCTAAATGCAGTATGTGAGGATGTTCTATGCTTTAAAAGCTACTAGGCCTGAAAGGCAAATCTTTCTTTAATTTAGCTAGATCTGTGCATAGTATGTTCAGCACAATCCCCTAGGTCTGCAACTAGTTACTACCCATCAATTGTTCCTGAAAAAAGAGCATGAAGACAGTTTTAATGTAGTTTAACATGCTTGTCTTGTAAAAAACCCCAACAACAAGTCACTGTGTCTTTCTGATGTTTTCCAGTTCTGACTCATTAACTAAACTAGCCATTTATTTTACCTGACTTTTAAATTTAAATTGCTGAAAATGTCAGTGACAACAATAGGAAATAGTGTTTCTTAGGGAAGTAATTATCTGAGTGGGGAAAAAAAGGCCTTAGTGAAAGAAAAGTAAAATCTACTCTTAAGCCACTAGAAAAAAAACATTAAATTGTACTTTGAGAAACCCCAGACTCCCTGCAGGATAAAGTAGCTTGCCCCCTGTAACACCATCACTGCACTGTGCTAAGTGTTTATACTACGGGGTGAGAACTGCAGAAACCTCAGATCCACAGGTCTGCGAAAGATACAAATTACTGGGGCAGAGCCATTCCTGTTGGGGGAAAAAAGCACCTCCATGTCTGTCTTTATTTGCCATGAGATCATACACCTTTGTGGAAGTTCCAGTTTGCCAATTTTAAATGTAAAGAGCTCTTCATGGTTATACTGGGGGGAGACCCAATTGGTTTGCATTGGCTCACATTCACATCTGGCTTCTTCTCTCTGTGGCTTTACTGTTTTTTATAAGCCTGATCTATTTTAATTAGGCTGGACTTGGGTTTAGACTTCAGTTTTGTGTTACCTGAGGTCTGAGATCCTGGTCATTCTGTCAGCTCTATATGTTG